GATGTGCAACCAGGGTGCTCCTTGGAAGCAATACCATCTCCCTTATCTTGGGCATGTTGTTAGGAGGCATCAGTGCTCGGGAAAAGATCTTGGGCTGGAAAAATAAGAGGGTGAGCGAAAGAGGGGATGAACACCGGGATGTTTGGACACAGTGACTGCGCAACGAGCTTGAGCATGGTGAAGATCGTGAAGATGGCCCAGGATAGGGCGAGGTTTTGGCCTGTTGCTCTTTGGGTCACTATGAATCATAGGCAACTTGATGGCCCCGAACAACAAAAATCAGAATCCTAATCAGAGGTGAGTATTCTTTCTGGGCATCCTATTCCCATTCCTCCTCCTTCACATGTCCGAATTTTCTGGTACCTCCCTCTCGTCTAGAGCCTGAGCCGATGACAGCTGTGGCAGAAAGTACTGCTCTTGTAAGGGCAGCACCATGAGGTCAGCCTCTGCAGGCTCTTTGTTGTCAAATCGGAATCAACTCAGAGCTGATACTCCAAGGGCTGATAATCAGCTTTTCCCCAGCATGGAGCAATCACACTCCTCCTCCCTCAGCCAAATAATTCAATGAAGGTATTAGTTTCCTGGGAGATTGTAACACCACAGCACTTACTGGGTGGTTTCTAAGAAGAGATATGTATTGTGACACAGTTCTGGAGTGAAGTGGCTTGAACTCAGGGTGTTGGCAGGGCTATGACTTTCCCTAAAGCTCTGGGGGAAGATCTTTCCATAGTCTCTCTCAACTACTGGTGTTCCTTGGCGTATATGTAGATCCATCTTCATCCATCTTCCTTCTGTCTCTTCTTTTATAAGGACAGGACTCAAAGAGATTAAAACTCAATCTGCTTTTGTTAAGGTCCTTGAGTGGTACGACAGGTTACTCGCTTGACTACTAGTTCAAAGATTGGTGCATCAAACACACCCACAGGCACTTAGATAACAGACTCAATTTTTATCAGCTTCTGAGAGGTCATAACTGGAAAAGCTCTATGGAACAGTCTTGCTTTGCACACGCAGAGTCACCAAGAATCCCACCGAACTCAGCAGCAACTAGCAACTTAACCTCTTGGAATCTCTGCTCCTCAGTAGATGGAAATGGGAATAACGCCTCCTGGAGGTGTGCAGAGTGGTGTTACTGGTCATGATTGCTCACATAACGCCATGGGAGCCACTTGGTCTTCTATGATGAGCTAGATCCTGCAGAAAATTCACCCAGGGTTGATGAGTTTCTCACCTACGTTGAAACTCTCTATCCCAACTGAAAGTCCATTTCTTTCTCACCTTGTGCTTTGGGAAATGGGTCTATAGTTTCTGTGTCATTTAAAACTGTTACTGTACAACACCTTGGGGCATGCCCCTCCCTCTCTATTGTAAACTGATAGCTGGGTTCCCTGGCAGCCCAGCCTCCTCAGCTGCCTATTTATTGCAGAATTCTTCGAATAAACTTGGGCTTGATCAGGAAAAAAAACAAAACAAAAACAAACAAACAAAAAAAAAACTGTTACTGTACTACCCAACAGCAAGCCTATATTTCAGACTGAACAAATATTTTCTGAAAATAAACCTCATTTTTCAAAGGCTTTAGCTTGCATCCTCTAATGCCCAGACAACTGTGAGCAGAAGGAAATCTTTCCCCTGCTTTTTTCTCTGTAAGAGCTTGAGCGCAAGCTCACAACGAACACACACACACACACACACACACAGAGGAAGGCTCTCACACAAGAATGGTGGTGCCTGTGAAGCAGCATGGCAGTCATGTTGAAACCACTTCTCAGCTCTGGTCTGAGGATCTAACTGCAACTACCTTGAGCTCAAAATGAGAGCTAAACTGCTGAATCCCTGAGTTTAGACCAACCATTCTTCCCTAGTCCTAGGATATAGCTGACTCTACAGCAGCCATTCTTTCACCAAGCTGACTCCACACAGTCCTTGCTTCCTGGCGTAGCTAAGTTCTGATTCCTAGTTTGGGGTAGATGCTTCTCATTGACAGCACCTACATCTTGTGCCTATGCACACACTCTCTCTCTCTCCTTTTCCCTCCTCCCTCCTTCCTCCTTCTCTCCCTCCTGTCCCCTCCCTCTCTACCTCCCCCACCCCGTCCCTCTTTTGCTCTCCCTCCCTCTTTTCCCCTCTCTTCCCCTCCCCTCTCTTTGTCTATCTCTTTCTTTCTGCATCTCTCTCATCGAGTTGGCTCAAGGCTGACCCTCCACTGGGTTTCTGAAGTTGTAAATGGCAAGGGGAAAAGACTGCCTGCCTTTCTCTTACAAGTAGCTGCTGCTGGTTTGAACTACCAGAAAAGTGTAAATGGTGGGTTGACACAACAGTTCCCTGTGGGCTGTGCCATGAGCGTCCATGCAAAGAAGGCTGGGAGCTAGCATTTGGCACTTTGAGCATCTGGAATGGGATATGTGGGCAGTGATCCCTGCTTTATGGGACAGAACTGTCTCCAAATGTAGACACCAGGTAATTAAAAACTGTTGTTCACTACAGTTCACTTGTTTTGTTATCCAATTTCTCTCTTCTGGTTTTTAACCATAACAATCCTGGTGCCTGACATAGAACAGTCTTCTCCTAAATAGCAAAAAAATCTACTCCCCCCCCCAGAAGAGATCAAACAGAAATCTCATCACCTATTTTTTTATCACCTATTTTTAATGTCTAAATCTAGAGCCTTCAGATATCAATTCTTGTCACATTATTCTATAATCTACAAGTTAAATATTGTGCGAATATCATCAGCCTGACATAGAACAGTCTTCTCCTAAATAGCAAAAAAATCTACTTCCCCCCCAGAAGAGATCAAACAGAAATCTCATCACCTATTTTTTTATCACCTATTTTTTTTAGAAAATATTTATTCTAGAAAAAATCACACTGTACAATAGAACATTCTCAGTATGCAGCCTTCAGATATCAATTCTTGTCACATTATTCTATAATCTACAGGTTAAATATTGTGCGAATATCATCAGTATACTCTATAAAACAGTAATTTTTAAAAAGACAATGAGATAAAATATTTTTAAAAATAATACACATGACACTATCTGATATGAAAAGGCTTTGTCCGAAAGTGAGGTGCCGTCTGGACTCTGCCCAGAATGTGAGGTCCCTCTGACCTCAACCTTTGGGCTCTAATGAAAAACTTAACTCTTAGGTGTAGGTGTAACATTTTGGCTATTGTGAGATAATCTACTCGGCGAACTTAGGGGAAGTTAAATGAGAACAGGCTTGATAGTAATCAAGGTCAGTAAGTGAGGTCCCCAAACAAAAACACAAACCATAAAATAACTGTAAAAACTCACAGAAATGATGATTGTCTGGAAGGAAAAAGTCTAACATGATTATCAGTATTTTTCAGTCATCCCTCATTCCTTGAAGCCCTGGTGGTGCAGTGCATAACGTGTCACGGTGCTGACCAAAAGCTCCGTAGTTTAAGGGTTTAAAAGTAGTTTCAGGTGTTGTTAGAAAACCTGGGGGAAGGCCAGCATGAGGTGGAATCAACTCAGTGGTAGTGAGTTCAGTTTGGGGTTATTTGTCCCTTCCTTGCATCCCGTCTGGGTTGTTCTCAACTATAAAGAGATGAGAAGGAGTCTATTTTTGTCTATGTATCATTGTCCTGATGGCAGGAGTGCAAAGGGGCAAAAAGCTGGCCCTTCCCTCTAAGCAGCCCTCCTACCAACCTCCGTTCTTCATCTCTCTCAGTACTTAAGTGGCCTCAGGAATCATCCTCCACAAACTCTTTGATCATTTTCCTCCTTTCAAACTCTTCCTCACTGACCTCCAGGAAACCTCTCTTCTCTCTTTTCTTCATACCACCAAAACCCAAGAAAAGATATTCATAACAACATTGTAACAGCCAAAAAAGTCAAAACTATCTAAATGTCCGTAAATATGGATAAGCAAAATGTGGCAGGTGCATCTGTATTAGGGAATATCACTCAGTAATGATGAGGAAAAAAATTCTAATACATAGTGTCACACACGTCGGAGGGGATGTAAGAGGAGGTTCAGAGAAAACTTGGAGCTCAGATTAGGATTGTGGTAAAATATGAAACCTGGCACAATTATACTGAGTGAAATAAATCAGACACAAAAGGACAGATACTGTGCAATCCAACTGATAGGAAATATCTAAAACAGGCAAATGTATATGGACCAAAAATTATTAATTGCTACTAGGAATGGATAAAAAAGGAAAAGAGGGAGTTATTGCTTGAAAGGTACTGAGTTTGTCTTGAGGGTGATAAAAAAATCTGGGAAAGGATTGTAGTGATGGTTGCATGTGATTAATTTAATTAATATAGCTGAATTGTACATGTGACAATGGTTGAAATGGAAATTGTTTTAACATACATTTTAGCACCACATTATTTTTAAAAAGTTTTTAAATAATGATACATGTTATGACATGGATAACATTATATGCCTTGAAAACATTATGGTGGTGAAAGAAGACAGATATAAAAGGTCACATCTTGTTAGGATTCCATTTATAGAAAATACCCAGAATGGGAGAATCCATAGAGACAAGTGGTTGCCAAGGACCGGCTGGAGGAAGAATGAGGAGCGGTTGCTAATGGCTATGGGATTTCTGCTGAAAATATTCTTAGAGAGTAGAGAAGGCCACACAGTATTGTGAATATTCTTTAAAAATAATGAATTGTACAATTCAAATTTTCTACATTTAGTCTCTTTTTTTAAGAAGAAAGAAAGAGAGAGAGAGA